TGTCCATTACATGTTTCAGTTATTTCAAAGGTCCTTACAGCCTAAAACAGCAAAATAACCAAAACCACAATGACACTGGCCAAACGAATAAATATAGCAAACAATAGGATAAACTGACAGATCATTTCCTTGTTTTTGCCACATAATTATGTTTTATGATGTTTCAGGGTCCAGGGTCACATTTCTCCCGCTCTCTCTCCCTTACAGACACACACACATAGGCACCCCTTTTGGGGTCAAGTAAATCTCAATTTCAAAAAATTGACACTTAAGACTGGTTTTGTGGTTCAGGGTCACATTTCTCCCGCTCTCTCTCCCTTACAGACACACACACATAGGCACCCCTTTGGAAGTTTGGGGTCAAGAGTTTTTTAAATGTTCATCAGAAGTATATCTACAAAATATGAAGCACCACAATTATTTTTAACATTGTTAATAATAAAAATGTTTCTTGAGCACCAAATCAGCATATTAGAATGATTTCTGAAGGATCATGTGACACTGAAGACTGGCTGCTGAAAACATCATAGGAAAAAATGACATTTTAAAACGTATTAGAAAGCAGTTATTTTAAATTGTAATAATAGTTCACAGTAGTACTGTTTTTTTATTGTATTTTTGATCCAAAAAATGCAACCTAAATGAGCATGAGAGACTCAAAACACTTTCTGAATTAATCTTACTTACTCCAAATTGGGAATGGTAGTGTTTATATAATATATGTGTATGTACATAAATCAACTAGGTAATTCAGTAAAGATTTACATAAACATGAAAATCACCCAAAGAAACAAACATTTGCATGCCAGCATTCATATACTGCGTTTAAAATATCAAACAGAAAGCTCAAGTTATTATGGAGTGTTAAATCTCAAATCTTCAGTTCATATTGGTTAATATCTTTCAGTCTGTAATGAGATTGAGCAATGGCCCGCACCAGTACCAGGACAGACACTCAACCTACCTGTGATGGGTGTGGTGATGCAGGTGAGAAGATTTTGGATGGAAAAACTCTTTTCCAAACCCTTTTTAAATCCATTCAGTTTATCAAATGCTGATGTTGGATTTGCAGGTCAGAATTCCCTCAAAAGTCGAAACACCATCAGGAAGCCCTGTAAGACAACCACAAACAGAGGTGCCTGTCTCATTTTACTATGACAATCATGCACATATGCTTTTATTTTAACATATGCTTAATACGTGGTTGTATTTTTGCAGAATCTGCTCCCTGCCCCCACGGTTCTTCCATCAGTTCACGAGTTGGATCTTTTCAAGTGAGTATTACACCGGTTGTACATTGTAACGTAGTTCGGGAAGAAGGAGGCAGGAACCGGCGGACATTTAAACAAACTTTAATAAAATAAACAAACACAAAATAGTGCGACAGCCCCTCGCGGACGACTGTCGCGCACAAACGAAACCAACACACAAAATAAAGTCCAGGCCTGGTCCTCTCTCCTCCGACACTGTCGTCACTCCTCCCTTTTATCCTTCCGGAGCTCCTCCGTGAGACTCGAGACCGGTGAGTGGTGCAGGTGTCGCTCATTATCAATTACTCCACCGGCCTCGCTCCGTTCCCACGGCTCTCGGCCCCGCCCCCACTCGTCACATACATGTTATCTGTAATTACTAAACCATCTGTTGATTTTACAGCCCTCACTAATAGCAGCCCTAATTGACCTTCATGTAATCAGATGTTTCCAGTCAATCCTGATTCGCGTGCAGATGCTCTGGGAGCTCATGTTGCTAGGAGAGCCTGTGGTTGTTATGGCACCCTCTCCAACCGTCTCCTCAGAGACTGTGTTGGCCCTGGTCAGGTATGGATATTGCGTTTTCAAAGCTCTCCTTCCAGAAGCACGTAAACAACATAAGTAATTGCTAGGAACTTATAATAATGACAATAAGAGCTGATAGCGTTTCTATTGGTCTGCTTCTATTAGAGTTTATGCCTATGTTTATTCATCAGCAAACTCCAAACCCCACACCATTTCAGAACTGTTTGGATGTTTATTTAACATTATGGTTTTTGTGAAATTGCAAAAGCTTTTTAAACACAAATAGTTTCTTCTTAACCAGTTTTTAAGTCTTTGATAGGACATAGTGTAGTTTTGCATATATTTGATATGTTTTATGTTCACTGTTTAGCACTATCGCCCCATTGCACTACTGTGGTGATTACAGACCATACTTCACCATTCATGACAGTGAATTCAAGGAGTACACGACCAGGACTCAGGCTCCGTAAGCAAAAACTCACATGCCACCTGAAGTCTCTCTTTAAAGGATAATTTCTTTAAAAATTCTGTAATTGTTTACTGACCATCATGTCTTTCCAAACTCATGATTTTCTTTAACAAAAGATGAATTTTTGAAGAATGATCTAAGCCATTCTTTCGTATAATGAAAGTGAATGGGGACTGGAACTGTCAAACTGCAAAATGACACAAAGGCATTGTGCTGTTGCTCCGGCAAAGCTATCATGGCTTTAAAATATAGCACACAAATGTATGGACCGCTTTTTGTTATTTAGTAGTTGACAGCACAGCAGCCATGATATTCTTCAAAAATGCACCTTTAGGTTTGGTCTAAATGTGAGCTACATGTGCAAAACAACATTTGTGGGGCAGGATATTAGGATAGACTCTTCAGTCTATTTTCTGCTTTCAGGCCCAATGTGATACTTGGTGTCACAAACCCTTTCTTTATAAAGACCTTTCAGTGCTGGCCACACATTATTCGCCTCGGAGACCTGAAGATGTCTGGTAAATTATGCTCCATTTTAGCAGCAAGGCTCATCTGACAGCCCTTTTTTTTAACATATGATTTTGGTGTATTGCACGAGAGAGGTCTGAATGGAGTTTCTTTGCAGGTGATTTACCAAAGCAAGTGAAGGTCAAGAAACTGGCAAAGTTAAAAACACTGGATACTAAAACAGGTACGCAAGTAATCTTATGTGCTGAATAAAACGTGAGCGTGTATGTA